GAATCTTATTACACTGTATACTAGGAAATTTAATTACAGCAATGTGAGTTATTCGAGTAACGACAGCTACTATTTAATAAATTAATAAAACTATTTTTAAAATTCTTTTACCTACGTAAGTTTTTCATTTGATGACAGAATTAGTATGGAAAGACTTTTTGTGAAAACTCCGATAATGTACTGTATTTTTTTTTTTTTTTTTTCAAAATAAATATTACACAATTCAATTTTTTTACGTACGTACCCTTTTTCAAGGAATATGATGATACACAATTCAATTTAAGAAAGAAAAAAGGGTAACTAAACTTGCAAGTGAATTTGTATATCATTAATATACATATCGATATTTACACAATTTAAGATATTCGAAACGAAAAACAAAAATGTGCAGCTATTAATTTAGTATTTAATCCTTGCATAGGCGTTATTAAATTTACTTTTAATCACATTTCAAAGTATGTGTCACATAATGGTATTTACTAGATACTCCCAGTTTGTTTCGTTTCTTCTATCGACTGTCCCTAAAATAAAAAAATGTTTCAACTATGCATAGCTCCAACCTTATGAAAATGCCATCTTTCACTAATGATTAAATAAATAATTTTTGATCATGTTGGTTTTAGACAAATTCCTTTTTCATTTCCTTATCAACTTTACTTTATATAATTCTACTCCAATTAGTGTTAATTCAACATTCATTTGGATTGGACTTTTTTATGCTTTGACCACCTATTATTCCTCAATTACACTTTCCTTTTTTCCTCCTCTTTATGTTTTGGTTTTTTGGCACTTATTTTATTCTCTCCTTTGTTCATTTTGGAGAATATTATCAATATAATATTGGCATTAACTCTCTTATTCGATTTGCATATACAGTTGGAATTTTTATAATTTCCCGTTTGATTTGTATTTCTTTAATTTTGCTTTTAACTTTCTTTCCGCGTAACCTATTATACCCATTCATAATTAAATATCCCAAATTATTTGTGCTATTCTTAACTAACTGCAATATCTAGAAATCTCTCAAAATGTGAATCAAAGGTTTTAAATAAATTTAAAGATATTGATCAGTTAATCTATATTTATAAAAGACAACACCAAAGATATCGTCATATAACGCAATGTTCATTTAATCGGGCCACCTAAATATAACATTACAGACTTACAAATTTCACCAATTGCGCCCAAAGATTTTATTCTTTCTTTGTTTAAAAATTCATATCACTCATTCGATCTTGAACCAGCATTTCAGGCAGTAGAGGAAATTGAATTAAATTTTCTTTAAGCATTGAATTATTGTAAGTATATAATTATATATAAATTAAAACATAAATGTTACAATATAGCAGTGCAGTAATACTAACGTAGTATTTAAAATTATAGAATTCTGATTTGCCGATCCTGACGATCTCGATGAACAAAATAAGGAAAAATCTGAAAAGTATAAAAATGGTAATTTGAACCTACTTTAGCTGGATATCGTGAAGGCAATTTTGCTTATATAAAAACATCTGACCCTAACTTAATCATGAATTAAAGTTACCCTGATCCTAAATTTATTTTATCCTATTTTTTTTAACGTGGATCTATTGTGGCATAGAATTATTAGAGGAGTACGTGGTTCATTCTAAACATTACTTTTTCCATCATAAATATTACTTTTTATTCCATGGGTACTATGTAACAACCCGTGGTTTTTTGACAAGGTTATTTTTATCGGTCTATATGAAAATCACATGATTTTTATATAGATCCGTGCAATCGAAATTCTCAATTTTTTTTTTATTTATTGAAATTTTTATTTATTACAATTTATTTAATAAAAGCATTTTATTTAATATTTAAAAATAAAACATATAATTATATAAAATTACATATTTAAAAATGATAATGAAAATGATAATGTATTTCTTTATTATTTACATTATCATTTTGTTTCTGAATATCTTGAAAAGTTAAAGGCATAAAATGATTTGTCGCATCACTTAAGGGTGATCTTGATTGCATTAAAGATTCAGAAGAAAACTGAGGAATACGTGATGGCCTTTCAATGTAACCTGGCTTATCAATTTGTGGTGTTTGAGGACTTGAATCTTGCAATTTTTTGTAAGGTGGCTTAAACGGAGCATACAATTTCTTTGAAACTTGTGATCGTAATGGTGGTTTTTTTTGTAGTCCTGGTGCTTTTTTATTCAATAGTCCTGGTGCTTTTTCACCCAATAGTTCCGGCGCTTGTTCATTCAATAGTTCTGGCGTTTGTTCATTCAATAGTTCCGGCGCTTGTTCATTCAACAGTCCCGGTGGTTGTTCATGTATTGATTCAGGTGGTTGTTCATGCAATTGTCCCAGCGATGATTGTTGCAATGGTCCTGGTGATGATTGTTGATTTGCTGATTTTTTATTATTTGAAAGTGGAGGCGCTAAAATAAAGCCATTAATAAAAAATCAACATATATTAAAAAATATAATTTAATAAAATAAATACCTTCATCATAATCGTCTTCCTCGAAATCTAAATAGTTTTTTGCATCCCCGGGAAAATAGTTGAATTCTTCATACGGAATATCGTCAAAATCCAGGGGAATTAACATTGACGTATTCCTGAGCCTCTGGTCATCGTTCGGGCTGTTGTAGGCCTTAATTCCCTCCCTGCTACGATGTCCAGAAAATATCATACGCTCATCTTCTGGGATTTCCAAATCTTTTAGCCGTTGAATCGCTGTACGTCGTAGTGAATGATTACTGATTTTGCGGCCATTCTCCAGATTGATGCCCGTGAGTTCTGCAATTTTCACCATCATTGTATTTAATTTATTGATTCCCATCCGAGTTTTTTTGAACCAAATGCCTTTTAGAATATCTACCAAAAAAAAACAATCAAAAATCAATATTAATAATAAAGATCATTAAAAATGTAAATCACAAAACAAGCACAAACAAACGCTTTAAACCCTTTGACGCCCGTGTCGTTTCCAGAAAAAAAAAATTACATGCACCCACGGCACGTAAAGATATCAAATGCAAGATATCTTGAATCGGTTTAAAGCGATTATTAATATTGTCAGGAGGGATTGGAATCTTTCTTGCAGAACTTTTCCCATATTTATTTCGTTTCAAAGCCCCGCGTTGGTTATTTTTTTCGTGATTAAAAGTAAGAAACAGACCACCATCATCACGACGAGATATATCTTTAAAATTTATTCTTTCGGCATCACCTCCACGAAGACCACACAAAAGTGATAGCCAAAAGAAAACTCGTCGCACCAACCCTTCATTAGTATCCACCTGCATATTCTCATGATCAAGAATTTGAATAATCTCTTCAGCAGTTAGTGGAGATGCTTGATCCGTTTCGCCCAAACCCACACTTTGGAGTTTTTTCATTTTACCATCTAAAGTCCTCAACGCTTTACCAAAATGGTATGAATCCCATAACTTACAGGGCTTGATTTCACTATTCTCTTTTAGGTGATGAGCTATAGAAGCGTAGCAGTTGTGAATACTCTCTGCTTTATAGTCATTTCCATCCAAACGCTTCAACCAGGCAATGAATCTGCAAAGAAAGTGTTCCAATTCTGTTGTTGTATCTATTTTTTCGATACCTATTTCATAATTAATAGTCTCACGAAATCTGTCGACTGAACGCAACCACTTCGAAGTACACTTGTCGGTGTTCTCTACACGCGACATTTGTTGCAATTCCAAGACATCTTCTTCGGTTGGGGCGACATTACGATTTCTTTTACCCATTTTGCAAAAAAAAAAAGATCGATAAGGTTAGAAGTCGATCGATCTAAAAACTGATAAGAAAGTCTAATTTATTAAAAAGGGAAGTTTATTTGATTATGTAGGCGCACGGGTTGTTACGTCGTACCCATGAAATAATCTAGTTATTTAATGAATATCTATGGATACGGGGTATTTCATAGAATAATAGTAAACCACGTGGCCTTCGGCCACGTGATTTTACTATTATTCTATGAAATACCCCGTATCCATAGATATCCATTAAATAACAAGAATATATCGATCATGTAATGTTATTCTATATCGATTCTATTGTTGATATTCTATTCACAAATTTGACTTCCAAAAAAAGGTCATTTTGAAATCCGATATTTCATAGAGACAAATCATACTTAAATGATTGATTTTTGTTTTTGCAACCCATCTCACTGTGAACTATATTCTCACACAGATTTAAAAACAACAAATTCGCGATATATAAGACTAAGGTATTTCTTTTTATTATCTTCTTTTAGGAATACTTGAAGAACAATTTACCCAGTGATCAAATATCATGTGATAAACGTCATTTGTTAGGGAAAGTCTCCGGACACCTACTGATTTTGCACCTACCTAGTTTAGAGTTTTTTATGATTGGTTGATTTATATTTGGTAGGTGCAAAATTCACGTGTATGGTAGGTGTCCAGAGACTCTCCCCATTTGTTACCAGAATACATCATGTGACATTGTAATGATCGCTGGGTTCAAACTACCCATGACAAATAATGTTGGATAAGTGGACATAAAATTACATAAAAGAGAAGCTAATTCAATAATACTGTGGAAGATCGACAAATATGCACAAATAAGGTTACTTTGAACTATCAACACTTTACATGAAAACGCCTATTTTTGAACTTCGTATTCACAAATTCAATTTTTACGGAATTACATGCTTCCAAAATATGTCTCCTAATTATAAGTTTATCAGATTAAGGATTAGTTTATAATAAATTTTGCAAGGAATTGGAGATTTGATTAGCGAAGGCGCATATTTGTAGATCCTTCACAATCTTACTGAAGTAGCTAATACTTTAATATTAAAGATTTCTAAAAGTGAATGTTAAAGTATTGTTAAATGTCTATATAAGTTAGATTTTAGTGGTTTGTTGCTAATAGAATCAGAAAAATTATCTTATAACTTTAATTATCAGTTCAAAAAAGATTATTTAGAAACTTACTAATAAAAATAATTTTTTATTAGATCTTAATCATGAATAATAACGGTATGCAACAAAGAGCCCAGAATATCAATATTGGTGGTCCACAAAACGCTAATGGCCAACTACCAAGAGTTCAGAACAATCCAAATCGATTCGACAGTGCTATTCAACAATACAATGATTTAGTTAACGGTGCAGATCCGTTCACCAAAACGCAAGATATAGAAAACCCACCACAACAGTTTTCAAAGTTGCTGCTTTCGGGATCCACCTTCATATGAAATATGGATATGCATGTAGTCTGACCTCTCTAAGTACACCCTCTATAAATGCACGCTCAAATTCTGGCTCAAATATATACTTGAGATTTATAAATTCATTTTTACTTATTATTCTCTAAATCAAGTTGTTAAAGTGTGGTCCCAAGAGTTGCACTTAGAGATGTCTGACTGCATTACTATTTTATTTTTTTTTTTAAGAATATGTAATATCACCTTTAAGAATATGTTTATTTCTATAAAAGATTTTTATTTGAACATTTCCATCATATTTCCATCCTTTATGTAAAAACTCCATAAACTTAAAATAAAAAAAACTTGTATAAAAAAACACTGATTAACATTTTATACGGTGTTGTCATCTATATGAATTTTAAATTAGTGACTCATGAAAATATAATTTGATAATAATCTGAGCATTTTATTAATCAATTCTTGAGAAGCATATTATCCTTAGTAAGGCGAGACCAATTTAATTCAGTGGTTTACGTTACCCACCCCCTCACTATATATGCGGAAAATTTCGGAAATTTTTTATAATATCACGGATCATTTCGGAGAAAAAAATTATAATAAACTCCCTCCAGCTCCCCCATCCCCCCCCCCTCTTTTGTGAGAAGG